TAGATATATAGTTGCATTCTCTTAATGAATAGAATGATTTGTTCTAATGGTGTTTGTAAATAGGATCACAAGTCCACTTCTTGTACAGCAATTAACCACTAAGAAGAATATATGCAGTGTATTATTTGTTGAAACTGTACTTGTGATTTGATTTGAAACTGTCTCATTGCTGTTTATCAATAAAACTTTGAAAAAAAAGAAGAAAAGAAATAAAAGGGTATATAATCCAAAAATGGGCATCTGAGATGAATATACACTTCTCAGAGGAAGAAATACAGATGGCAAGTATATATGAAAAAATGTTCAATATCATTGGTCATTCAAGAAATACAAATTAAAACAACACCCCAGAAAGAAGTCAGCCAGAAAGAATGGCTAATGTCAAGAAGTAAGCCAATAACATATGCTGGAGGGGCTGTGGAGAAAAAGGAAACCTTTTCCACTGTTGGTGAGAGTGTAGACTAGTACAACTACTATGGAAATGAGTGTGGAGATTCCTTAAAAAGCTAGGATTGGTGATCCCATTCAAGCCAGCTATTCCCTTCCTGGGTATTTTTCCAGAAGAACTGAAAACCTCATACCACAGCAATATGTGTGCACCCATGTTTATAGCAGTGCAATTTCTTATTGCTAAATCACGGAGACAATCCGTATGCCCATCAACTGAAAAATGGGTAAGGAACATGTGGCATTTTTATACAATGGAGTATTATTCAGCTATAAAACAGGGTAGATTTGAGTCTTTTGTTGGTAAATGTATATAACTAGAGAACATACTCTTAAGTGAAATAAATCAGACCTGCATGTGCAAACATCATATTGTCTCCTTAGTGTGAGAACCTAAAAGAGAAAATGGAATCTGAAGGGTACATTAGATAACTTGGTTTGAAACTGTCTCATTGCTGTTTCTCAATAAAATATGGGAAAAAATAAATAAATAAGACCTTTCCTTACTTAACTCTGGGCATCAGGTATTTTGTCTCAGTAATGAGAGAAAAGTAACCAAGACGTTTATATTGAACTTATGTTGTTTAGTAAACCTACTTGCTTAAGGATAAGTTCTTCAGAGATACAAATCTAGGAAGATTAATATTTTTGAAGGTTCCAGGTTTAGATTTCAATTAAGTAATTCAGTGATGTTATTATGACATAATTAGCACAGCCCTTCCTTTTTATATATTAATATTGTTAAATGTTTACTGAAGTTATATGTGCTTGTTGTACATAATTCAAGCATTACAGAAATGTAACAAGTAGCGGTTCTCCACTCCAAAGAGTAAGTATCTTAAAGTGATTTGATATGTATCATTTCACATTTTTTTTCTGTATCTCCACACATAAATATGTATGTTGGTGGAGAGGGATTATATATATTTCAGTCTTTTTTTTGTGGAACCAGGGATTGAACTCTGGCCCTTGTGCTTTCTTAACTGTTCCTTTAAATGTTCAACATCATTGGTCATTTCAGAAATGCAAATTAAAAAACACTAAGATTTTATCTAGCCACAGAAAGAATGACTATCATCCAGAAGTCAACCAATATCAAATTCTAGCAGGAGTGTAGAGAGAAAAGAACTCTTCTCTACTTTTGGGAGTGTAGACTGGTGCAACCACTGTGGAAATCAGTATGAACATTCCTCAGCAAACTAGGAGTAGAAGTCCCATTCAGCCCAGCTATTCTCCTTCTGGGTATTTTTCCAGAAGAATTTAAAGCATCATATGACAATAAAATATGTGCACCATGGTTATAGCAGCAAAATTTATGATAGCTAAATCTTGGAAACAACCCAAATGCCCATCAAATGAGGAATGGATAAAAAAAAAAAGATGTGGTATTTTTACAACGGAGTAGTACTTGGCCATAAAGAAGGATGATCTGGAGACTTATAGTTAAATGGATGCAACTAGAGACCATACGCATAAGTTAAACCCCCTTGTATATATTCTTTGTGAGAGTATTTCTGTAAGATAGATTCATGCAAATGGAAGCTATGTAAAAGAGTATGACTCTCAAAAACTTGACAGGTCCTACCAAATTATCCTCCAAAACATTTACACTGAATTATAATTTCACCAACAATGTGTAAGAATGCCCTTTTTCCATGTTCTAACACCAGATCTTTAATTCGTACCAATTTGATAGCTTAGAAAAATTAAATGTAATTTATGTTGCATTTTGATAATTATTCATATTATTAGGCTTTTTCCATTTTTTTTCTTAATTGCCTATTTTTAGCCTTTATTCCCTTTTCTGAGACTGTCTCTTTCTCACTGATTTGTAAGAGCTCTTTGAATATTAGTGATATTAATTTTATGTTGTATTGGAACCTATTATAGCCGCCCAGTACTATTAAGTCTTTGATTTTCTGTCTGTAAGTCTTTTTTTTTCTATTGGTACATGCTTGCAGTAGTACATCATGATTATGTTCCTCACAAGGAGTTAGTATATGTACATAACATGTCTTAACTCTTTTTTTATCCTCTTTCCCCTTCCTTCCCCATGCCCTCCATCTCTTGCTCTCCTTCCCTTAAGCAAAAATTTATCTGTTTCCTATTATCTACCTTTTGTTTTCCTCCTTATTTGTAATTTCAGTTTTGCATAAGACAAACCATGTGATATTTAAGCTTGTGTGTCTAATTTCACTTAGCATTATGGTCTCAAGTTATATTCATTTTCCTTCAAAGACTCAAAGTTTATCCTTTTTTATGGGAGTATTCATGTGGTATAAATGCCAAATTTTTTTATTCATTTATCTGTTGGTAGGCATACGGCTACTTCAAAGGATAAGTGCTGCTATGAACATGAGTATGCATATATCACTGTAATATGATATATTTAATTCTTTGGGGAAGATATGTAGAAGGGGAATATCTGGTGTCTTAGTTACTTTTCTCATTGCTGTGACAAAATACCCAACACCCAAAGTTAAAAGGTTTATTGGAGCTTACAGTTTGTAGAGGTTTCAGTCCATAGTCCGCTGGCTACAAGGCAGGTAGCATGGAAAAGGAACATCACAGAAGAAAGAGTCCATGGCCAAGCAAGGAATGCAGAAGACAGCAAGCAAGGGAAGCAGCAGGCCAAAAGAGCAGCCTTGTTGCTCTCTTATATTCTATCCAGGTTACTTGCTCTTAGAGAGGGAAGCACTCATGCCCAGGATGGGCCTTCCCATTCCTCACAATAAGAACTATGCACCAATGAGTGAGCTAATTTAGTAATCCATACATGCTTAACCCCAGCATCACACTCTAGATCCAGCCACCTCTGACCATATGAGGCTTTGGAAGGACATTTAGACATAAGCCATAACAAATGTCAAATGGAATTTTTATATTTAGTTTTTTGAGGAATTTCCATATTGGTTTCCAAGTGGCTATACTAGTTTACATTCCCAGAAACAATGTAGAACGGTTTCTGCCCCACCCCACCTGCACCCGCGCAGCCTCTCCAGAGAGCATTTGTCATTGGATTTCTTAATGATGGCCATTCTTTCTGGAGTTAGATGGTATCTCAATATTGTTTTATTTGTATTCCTTTAATGGCCAGAGGTGTTGAATATTTTTTCATCTATTTATTGACTATTTTTATTTCATTGGGAGAGTACCTGTTCATTTCAGTTGCCTATTTTTAATTGGATCTTCTATTTGGAAGAAATTAATTTTTTAAGTTCTTCATGTATCCTAGCTACTGCCTTTGAGTGGGAGGCAGGTTTTTTCAATTCCATCTATTTTTATTTTCCTGCTCCCCTGAAGTAATTTTGGTCATATTTTCCTAAGGAATTACCTATTTTGTCTAGGTTTTCAGATAAGCTGGTATAAAGCGTACACAATCTATACCTTTTATACACTGAGTACTTTTGTTTCATTCGTTCAATACAAAGTCTTGCTATGCAGTTTGGACTCATAGTGGTTCTTCTGTCTCAGCCTCCCAGCTCTGGGGTTACAGGTGTGTGCCACCATGCCCGGTTTTGGTGGCTGGGTATCAGACTCAGGACCTTGTGTTTGCCAGGCAGGTGCTTAGACTGCTGAGCTATCTCCTCAGCCCATGTTGGGTGCTTTTAATGACCCACATATCCATTCTTATCCTTTTGTTATCAATGTTTAATTGTGATTTCTTTTATCACACTCGCCTGAGATTTTTCTATTTTTTTAATTAACACTCCATCTTATTTATCTGAGTATTCTATATTTTTAATGTTCTATTTTAATCCTAGCTTTTGTCTTTACCCTTGCTTTTTTTTTTTTTTTTTTTTTTTTTTTTTTTTTGCGGTACCAGAGACTGAACTCTGGACCTTATGCTTGCAAGTGCTTATGCCACTGAGCTATATCCCTGACCCCTTGCTTTGAGATTTCATGAATGGTATAATACTTTCACTATCAGTGCTTATTTTTTATAAAGTGAGATAAAATTACATATTTTCTAAGTTTATTATTTCTGGGGATGGAAGCCAATACATGTCTGATGCCTTTCAAGTGTTTGATGACTTGAAAAATTACTGATCTAGGAAGAAAGGAATATATAGAATGAGAATTAGAATATCATTGTTTGTACGTATAAACAATGATATCTTTCAGCAGTGATTTCTAGGCATGAACAGATGATTGTCAAAGTACATTATCAGACTAGACTCGAGCTGTGCTTTGAGTATAACATTTTAGAAATACAAAGTAACTTTTATCTTTATTATTTTTCAAAAGTCAAAAGAATAATTTTTCTTCTAGCAGAGGAAGACTTATGAGTGGCTGCATTTATATGCTGGAATATTAAATTCTAAATTGTTTTTAATCTTTTTTTAGCTACGTGTTGTATCACAAGATGTGAAATTGAACCTTCATGAATTAGACGAACTTTATGTGATCTTTAAGGTACAGTGATGCTTTATGAATGAAAAATGATGCACTTTTAGTAGAATTTCATTGCAAGTATCCTTAAATACCTTTTTTGCCAGATATGTTTAAAAGAAGAAAATCTGCAATCCTTTTTCTGATTTCATAACTTTTTCTTTTTATTTATTTTCAATAGAAAGAGCTGTTTCTGTCTTGTTATTGGTGTTTGGGTTGTCCGGTATTAAAGCATCATGACCCCAGCCTGCCATATTTGGAACAATATCAGATTGACTGCCAGCAGTTCAGAGGGTTGTATCATTTGTTGAGTCCCTGGGCTCATTCGGCAAACAAAGACTCACTGGCTTTATGGACATTCAGATTATTGGATGAAAATTCTGATTGCCTCATAAACTTCAAAGAATTCTCTTCTGCAATTGGTAGGCCAATATCTTACAACTTTTTAAGCAAAAAAAAATATCCCTAAAGGTATTTAGTACTAATAACAATTCAGTCAGACTATATTACCTGGGTTACATTGTCTTAAACTTTAATAATTATAGGGTTTTTTTCTGTGTTTATTACTAAATCTAAGAATATTGATTTCATTTTGCCCCAACCTTCTCAGAAAATCAGGCTGTTCCATGTGAATATTCTAATGATTGACATGAAGGAAGAGAATATCCTGACTTTCCCACGCTTAAGTACATGGATGCTACTGAGATTTTCCTCTTCAGTAAATGTCCAATGACATAGCCTAGAAAATTACTCAGGAAACATGTTGTGCCATTACATAGTCAGTGAACCAGGTATGGTGGCTCATACCTGTAATCTCAGCAGTCAGGAAGCTGAGAGTTTGAGATACAGTGAATTCAAGGTCAGCCTGAGCTACCTGGCAAGACCCTGTCTCAGAAAAAAACATTCAATAGTCAATACATTATACCTGTAAATGTTGTTCCTTTGCTGTTCCAGACTCCCCCAGTAATGCTTTCTTGTCATGCATTGGCCCTTAAAGAGCAGTTCTTACATCAGATAGGTATAAGGCCTCATTGAAAAGAAAAAGAAGTCTGAGATTGGGGAAAAGGAGCTAGATAGTCATGAGAGCATTTTGTTCCTTTCATAGAATATTTTACTTATACACACTTAAAAGGAGGGAATCTGGCTGGTGGGTGGTTGTTTATCTGTTAGCTTAAGTAACAGAAGGTTTCTGAATCCTAATTGCCAGTTAGTATCTGTATCTTAATTAATCTGTGTTGCTGAAGTTATTTGGATGATGCATGATTATTTTCAACTGAATTTTATTGAACAGACATAATGTACAATGGAAGTTTTACTGAGAAGCTTAAATTGCTTTTTAAGCTGCATATTCCTCCAGGTAAGTGTTTAACACTCTTTAATGATATATAGCACTTGATTTCATTTTAACTAGTATGCTTATAGATACAATTTCATTTTATCAGATAATATAATTATCAGTATATAAGGTCATTTTTTCATTATGGCAGTGACACTCCATTGATATTATCACTGTATTTGCTTATGTACAGTGACATTGTGAAATCAAGAGAGTCTGAGTGATGGAGAGGCCTACAAGCTTTGTATTAGTGGGCAATTATTTTATTGAGAGTCTGTGTATAAGAATTACATATCATTTGAATGTTGATATAATGTTGAATTTTTGTGGTTGCTATTGTGATCAGACTAGAGATCAATTTTAGGTAAGTGACCATGCTTGTAAAACAGTACCATTATTCAAGCAAAATGGGACCAGGAAGGGCTGGTGATGTAGCTGTATGGTAGAGCCCCTTGCCTAGTAATGTGCAAAGAAAAGAAAATGGAAGCAGGAAATAAGAGGGAATATTAAATATTTAGAAAGAAAAAAAAAACTAAAAGCTACCATTAACTGAGCACTTGTTCATCAAGACATTTACTTTACTTGCATTCTTTTTTTCTTTTCTTTTTTCTTTTTTCTTTCTTTCTTTATTTATTTATTTATTTGCGAAACCAGGAATTGAACTCAAGCTCTTGCTCTTGCCAGGGAAGCGCTTATTCTACTGAGCCATCTCCCTGGCCCCTTTACTTGCATTCTTTTAAGCCTTACTATATCCTTGAAAGGTAATCTTATCCTTTCAATTTTAACAAAGAAACTAGGGGTCAGAAAGAGTAGATTATTTGCTAAAGATCACATAGCTCATAAATTGCCTAGCTGGGAATCAAACTAGTTTTTCTTACTTGAAGGTTCATTTCTCTTTCTATGCTACCAAACTACCTCAGAACTTTGATATTATTTCAGTTTGTATATGTTTTTTTCTTTAGTGATCAAAAAAGGCTGCCAGTCCGAGATATTCCTACTTTGAAAAAATAGGCTTAGGCTTTAAAATGAAACAATAATGCAAAAAATAGTTTAATTGAAGTAATTCATCAAAACAAAGAACACTTCATAATTGTCTAAATCTATGCCTGAGATCCCTTTTAAAATATTTTTTTTAAATCTTTTTAGCTTAGCCAGGAAACATTATTTACCAGACCAACAGGTATCTTTATCCCTTCCCACATTGAAATCATAGATAACATATTTTTTAAAAAAGGAAAAACACCAGCAATTTAATTCTAAAAGGAGTTTACATTGTCAGATTAGGTTGCCATTGTAATATACTTTAAGGACACTGTAGAAGTATCAAAAATAGCAAAAACATTGTATGTTTATCAAATCACAGGTAGGAAGCATACATTTCATTTTCTTCAAGTTTTTTTTTTAAATGACTAAGGTAGTATATTCAGATTTCCAAATGCTAGATTTTCTTATTACAACTTGTAATGGCTCTCAGAAAACTAAAAACAGCAAGTAGAAGCAATACTAGAACTCAAGGTGATCAAGTACTTCTGTATTTGCCATACAATAGAGGAGTATCCCTTTTATATTTCTTTACTTACATTTTTGTTACAAATCCCTTTTTGTAATTCCTATTCTCAAACTCGTCTGACCATTATAGACCCCATCTCTTTCCCTCATCATTAGTAAGTGTGATTTGGATTATATGTTTTCAGCTTATACTGAAGTGACATCTAAGGACTCTTCAAAAGGAGATGAACTTTCTACAGAAGAAATACTTTATTTCAGTCAGCTCCATGGTAAATATTTGTTTAAAAGTTTAACCTACGCTGAGAAGGGGTCTTGCTAAGTTCTCCAAGCTGATCTCAAATTCTTAGTCTTGGGCGGGGAGGAGAAATGACTCAGTAGAGTAAGCGCTTCCCTGGCAAGCGCAAGGGCCTGAGTTCAATCCCTGGGTCCACCAGAAAAATAAAATAAGAGTCACCAAAGTCAAATTCTTAGTCTTTAGTTACCCTCCTCTGCCATCAACTTTCCAAATATCTGCAACTGTAGATATATCCCACCGTGTCTAGCTAGTTTATCTGTCTTGATCATTATTTACCTGTAGATATCTTCCGGCTTGGATGTTCCTTACCCAGCTACTACTAATAAATCTGGGGTTCATTACACCTTTTGCTTCTTTTATACTACTGTAACACTTAACATAATTCGTAAATATTTGACTGCCAAATTACTAATTCCTGACTAGAGGCTTAGATTTATGAATTTTTATATTTATTGGAGAATTACAAGAAAATCATACTTGATTTCTAAATGTGTTAAAGAAACTTCTAAAGTATATCAGACCATTTTTATGTTGTAACTATTATTCAAACAGTAGATACTTACTATAAGGCACCAAAGATATAAGATAGAGGAATGAGTCTGTCTCCCAGACATTATTTGGAAGTAATATGAACTTATTTGTATGTATTAGGCTAGCCTTGAACTTATGATATACACCAAACAGAGTTCAAACTCATGGTGATCTTCCTGCCTCAGCCTCCCAAGTGCTGAGATTATAGGCATGCATCACCATGCCTAACAATATGCTAAATGTTTGGATATTAAGTTTAAAGAGATCTTACAAATCATCTACTCAGATCTCTTCATTTTATAGATAAGGGCACTGAGATCCACAGAGAAGGGATGTGTACAATTTTAAACATAGAGTTATTGCCACACTCAGGAATTGTAATGCATTCTTCCGACTTCCTGTATATGTAATTTTAGAATTTTTTCATAATAATAAAATCAGTATAATTTAATTTAAAGTAAGTCAAAAAGAGGAATATATCACTGAGAAACAAATACTTTATATTTAGTTTGCTTCCTTCTAGAATTTTTTAAAATACGGATACTTCCTCAGTATTCTTTTTTTCTATTAAAGTTTTTTAATGTATTGCCTAACAGTGACGGGGTCAGGTCGGGTAAGATTGGCTTACTGAAATAAAATAACATACTTTATATCATATGAAATAATATTATATACATATTTACTTTTAAAAGATATTTGTTAAATATTTTACAACGTTCAGTTGTCCTGTTTCCTTCTAGTGTCCAAGACTGCAAATGAGAAAGAATCAAATTCAGGAACACACAGCCCTGAAAAAGGTACTATGATCTGGGAATATAATCTCTTTTATTAAATTATTGCTTATACAATTAGGGATAACTAAAAGGGGGAAAAGTAGATTGATTCCTTTTACAGACTATAGATTGATCCTGAGAAAATTTTCAATTTCTTTATTTTAACAACTTAATTCTTTCTTCCTATAATATTTGTCAGAAGTTATAGAAAATACAATAGTAAGTAACCCATATTAATTTACTTTCTTTTAGAAGTATTTATTTTTAATCACTAAAGTAATAGATAATTCTAACAAACTGAGACTGTAAATAGTCCTCATATTTCCACCCACCAACCCCACTTGGAATTAAAGACTGAAAACATTTTTGACTGTATCCTCTCTAGATCTGTTTCTAATATGCTCAAACATATCTAGACATCCCTTTTAAAAATTACTCCATAAATACTGTTCTATAATTTGCTGATTTTCGATTGTGTGATTAACATGGAAAACTTTTCACATGTATACATTTGAATCTACTTTGTGCTGGTATAGAATATTTTATTATTTGTTTTGATCATAACTTATTTCAGTAAGTAGGCCAATACTAATGGGCATTTTGGTTGTTTCCAGTTATTTTTATTTCAAGTTATGTTTTAACAAATATTTTTGTGGTAAAAAGCTTAAGGCTAATTTTATAAACATTTCTTTGGGATAGGATCAATTCAGAAGTATAAAATACTGGGCTGTGATGGGTGTGGTGGCACATGCCTATAATTGCAGCACTAAGGAGGCTGAGGCAGGAGGATTGCTCTAAGTTCTAGGCCAGCCTGTGCTACAAAGTGAGTTCAAAGCCAGCCTGAACTGCATAATGAGGCCCCGTCTCAGAAAGAAAAAAAAACTGGACTAGTTGGTATTCACATTTAATATTTGATAAAGGCTGTCAAATCACTCTCTAAACACCTATAATTATTTTTATGTTTTTGAATTAACCATTAAAAATAATTCATTGCTAAAGATCTGTTTAAACTTCACCAATATTTTCTCCAGGTTTCAGAAGCTCATAAATAATTATTTAAAAGTCACCTTAACTTTCTTTAGAATGATTTGTTCTAATAGTGTTTGTAAATAAGATATCATGTCCTTATCTTGTACAGCAATTAACCACTAGGAAGAATGTGTGCAATGTGTTAATTATTGAAACTGTCCTACCAATTTGGTTTGAAACTGTTTCATTGCTATTTGTTTCTCAATAAAATTATGGGGAAAAAATCTAAAAAAAAAGTCACCTTAACATTCTTAACTAAACTCTTTAAAGATTCGTGTTTTGAGTTTTTGAGAAACAGATACCATAGACCACTTTGTTATCTGTATAAGAATGTAATACAGAAAGTGCCTTAAATTTAGTATGTATGAGGATGACTCCATGAAATTTGCATTGTCAGCTGAGGGAGTACTGTTTTAATATATATACATCCTTTTTTGCTCTCACCATGTTTTCTGTAGTCCCCAACTTTCTCAAAGTAAGTTTTAGTCTAAAAAAAAATAAAGTATTCTGAGAACCAATTGGTGACATAAAAGGTAAATTCAGATCATTTATTGGATTAAAAGATAAAATTTCATATGTTGGTGAAATATCTTTCAATCATAATCATTATTCTTGAGATTTGGGGAAATATAGTGGCCTATTCACTATGAACTGTTTTATTGCCCTCATCCAGGCAAAGGAAAAATTGACATTCAAGCATACCTAAGTCAGTGGCAAGATGAGCTGCTCAAAAAAGAAGAAAATATTAAAGATTTGCCAAGAATGAATCAGGTATAGTATTTTCAAGGGGACAAGTCTTAAGTTCTTACATCTTTAATTGGCTATGAGCATAACCAACTCTAGAATGCTATTTTAAAATCATATGGGCTGGAGAGATAGTGTGGGTGTCTAAGCACCTGCCTGGCAAGCACAAGGACCTGAATTCAGTCCCCCATACTGCATGGCGTGCAGGCCTCAAAAACCAGGGTATACTGTGCTGGCCACCAAAACTGGGCATGGTGATTGGTGCATGCCTGTAATCCCAGTGCTGGGGAGGCTGAAAACAGGAGGATCACTATGAGTCTGAGCTGCGTAGGGAGACCGTGTACCAAACAAGTAAATAAAAGATTTTAAATCAATAAATAAGACCAGCAATATAACTCAGTGGACTAAGCACATGCTTTGGCAGTCACAAGGATCAGGGTTTGATCCTGGGTCCAGCATGCTACGTTGTCCCCACCCCTGGGATGTGCTGAGTCAGTGACCAAGTCCGGGTGTGGTGCCACACACCTGTAATCCTAGCACTGGGGAGGCTAAAAACAGAAGGATCACTACAGTCCAGGCTGTGTAATAAGACCCCATACCAAATACATAAATGAAAAATAAATAAACAAAGCATGTCTAAGACCTGTGTATTATCTTTGTAAGATTTAAGGAAGCATGGAAGAAGAAAACAAATTTTAGTGAATTTTTGCTATAAACACTTATGTACATCTAGTGTTTATATAGTCCCTCTCATTAATTTTTTAAAACTTTTTTTGTATTTTTTAGGGAAGGGTCTACAGGGTGTTCAGGGTCTCACTACTAGATCGGACTCATAGTGATCTGCCTGTTTACAGTTTCCCAAGAGCTGAGATTACAGGCACATGCCACCACACCATCTCAATTGCCATCTCAGCATGCCCTGGGGGTGGGGCCAGCATGGCAGGCCTGGGGATCAAATCCCCGGCCCCTGTGCTTGCTTGCGGGCACTTTAATCCACTGAGCTATTTGCCCAGCCTTTTTATGAAATTTTATGTACATATAAAAATGTATGTAGAACATTTCCAGAATTACTGAAAATGTTCTTTTATCCAGTAAACATTTTTTAATGCCTACTGGATACCAAGCCTATTGCTAGTTACTGGGCATAAGAAATTATTCTCAGGGCCCGGGGCGATGGCTTAGTAGAATAAGTGCTTCCTTGGCAAGCGCAAGGACCTGAGTTCAATCTGCGGTTCCACCAAAAAAGAAAAAAAAAAGAAAGAAAGAAATTATTCTTAGTACTTCTTAATGGACTACATAACTTGGCAGTTGATTAAGTATATTTTAAAATGAGTAAATACAGGATATTTGTTCTAAAATTCTTATAAATGAATAGAAGTATAAGAAAGAAAATAAGCATTTGTTACAATATATTTTTATGAAGTATATCCTTTGTATATGCTTTGTGTTAAGATAAACTTTTCTGATTCGGTGATTAACTTATGTGACACCTGTGTTGAAATTGCTTTTTTACATTGAAAAAAATAGTTTATAGGACTATCTTTGGATTAATAATGGGTAAATAAGTGACCAACTATTTTCTCTCCACTTTTGCCCCCCTTCATCTTTGAAGAGAAGCTTGTCCATGTGGTATCCTTAGAGCTACTGTGCACTACTAGTTAAGTCCCACAAGTCATCTTTCCCTAAATTTGTCATCGTAACTAAGCAGCCTACCTTAGCCCTTTGAAGAGATCATGTGGAACTTGTTCTTAATCCTTTTGTTAGAATGAATTAATGATTTATGTACATTAGGGAATTACAGTACTTTAAAAGTAAGATGTATCATTACGTACATGGACCAGCTCCCCACAAGGAATGTAATCAGTGTACACCAAAAACAAGTCAATTAAAAGAAATGCCACCTAACATTGAAATAAGGTGGCCAGCTGTCCAGGAATTAGTGCAAATATAATGTACTGTAGGCAGTAACCAAGAAGGCTTAAATGAAATGTTTTCCTGTGATTGAATCATCTTTCTAAAACCAAGATTTATTTTGGCATTAATCATCAGTTCTTGGTTGAAGGTTATACACTATAAATTCTACCAAGGAGCATGCCTCCTTCTAAGTTCTCTTCATGTTTGTCAAATGTAATATTAAAATGTTATCTTTCTAATTTGTGTCTTCTAGTCACAATTTATTCAGTTTTCAAAGACCCTCTATAATTTATTTCATGAGGACCCTGAAGAAGAAGCTTTGTATCAAGCCATTGCTGTTGTAACAAGCCTTTTGCTCAAGATGGAAGAAGTTGGAAGGAAACTACATAGCCCTACATCATCAGCCAAAGCAATCTCTGGTACAGTCTGTGCTGCTGGAGGACCCAGTGAAAGGAAAACAGACAGCCACTTGGACAAAGATCCTTCCTCTCTTAGGGAGGAAGCTCAGTGGTCATTTGCATTTGAACAGATTCTTGCCTCTCTGTTGAATGAACCAGCCTTGGTGAGGTTTTTTGAAAAACCTATAGATTTAAAAGCCAAGCTGGAAAATGCAAAAACCTCTCAGTTGAGATCTAGAACCAAAGTGTAAATTTCTTAAAAGGAATTGACATCAAAGACAGGTTTACTGAGGAGATTTCTATACCTATTACCTTTATTCCTGAGAGTAGGCCTCAGGAATTTATCTTGCTAATAGTGTGCTGAAAGAAAAAAAGGAGTAAGATATTCAAAAGCATAATTATTCATTCATTTGTGGTGATCTCAAATTATGATATTCTCAAGTACAATTACAGTCAAACCTTGGACTGTGAGTAACTTGATCTTCAAGTATTCTATACGCCAAGCAAACATTTCTAAGACGTTTTAACTTGATAAATAAACAGTGTCTTACAGTAAGAGTAATATATCACACCGAGCATCACATAATCACAACTGGTTCTTCTCGTGTTGCTTTGGCATACAAGTGCTTTGGATTACAAATGAAATGAACACAAACCAAGGTTTTTCTATACTGTATATTTCAGAAGATATACAGTAAGTATCAAGGGAGGATATTCCATAGAACCACCAGAGGGTGCCACCATTCCATTTTTAGTAAGCAAATTACCAGGTTGAACTATACACACAAATGATTTTGAAATGTGTTTGTTTATTAGTGATGCTCAACTGTCATATCGATAGACCTTGTTTTCCACATTGCCTCAGTCTTACTAGAATGCTTTAGAAAACTAGGTTGTTAGTGTCGGGGATAAGGCTCAGTGACCCAGTACCTGCATGGCAAGAACAAGGTTCTGAGTTTGATTCCTGGTACCACAGGAAGAAAAAAAAAAGATTCTTAGATCTCTACCCTTACCGTGGAGATTACCATTCAGGACCCTTATTTTTAGGTTATCTAACTGAAATATTATTAAAATTTTAACTTTAATTTTGTTCAGTCTACTAATAGACGATTTTTTAGTAACTTGAGCATTCTTTCCATGTGAAGAGTTTAGAAGCTGTCGATCCATGCTGCTATCTCTTTTACTGCTCAGAAAAAAATCAAGGAAACTAAACACTAGACTGACAGAAAGGGAAGAGATATTGGACTTGAATTTAAACTGGATAAGGCTAACCTTTTGGAAGGGATTAAGAAATAGTTCAGTTAAGTATATAGATTTCTCATTAGACTGAGAAATTACTCTTCAGAGCACTATTGTTTGTTGTATTTGTCACAGTGTGTTGCAAGTTGTCTCAATAGTTTTAGATTTTGTGTTTTCTCAGTCATTTTAATTTACATTAAATAATAAGCATAAATAGTTACAATTAAACTGAGTTGTTGTATTAGTCTGGCAGGCATATAAAGTATACTACATGTGATGCTTGCCAATGTAATGTGTATAATTGCCAGCATCTATCTAAAAATTTTTTGACTGATTTAGATATGTAATTTTATGTACACTATGCTGCTTACATTTCAGTCACACCATGACAGTCCATTATTGACATAGTGGACTTTGTTGGCACTTTAAAAAAAATGAAACCAGTAAAAATAAGAAAACAAGTTAACTATATATATCCACTCTTCTGTCCTATTTCTGACAAGAGCAGTTTTATAATTGAATTAGGAAATGGGGCAGAAATCATCCTATGGAATTTCTTTCTTCATAGAAGATTTTGGTTATAAGTTCTTTGACTTTTCTAGATGTAAAACAGTGAAAGGGCAGACCTCCTCAGGAACATGAAAAGTCATCTTTTCTGAGCAGGAGTTAGGACAGCAAGCCTTAGGCAAGAATATTCTGTGAACAAAACCTAACCAAAGATGCATGTAACCATTCAATCTTACCTTCAGAGAAGTTAAAAAATTTTCATATTAAGCCTTTGTAAATTCATAAGTTGGGTTTGGTGAAACCCTTTACTAGTAGTGTCTTTATGATAATTTGATCACTTCGCCTTTTCAAGGAAATTACCACTTGAGATGGTTGGTAAGTATCCATGCCTTTAGTTGGAAATGATTTGTTGGAAATACATCCGGATTATAAAGACTTTGTTAATAGTTTGTATTAAAGCTATCAAATTTGCTATTAGCAATGATTGTTAAATTATGCTACAGTAGTTCTAGAAAGATATAAAGTCAATGTACAGAAAGACATTATTGTATACACTTTGTTGAGTATTTTGTCCATTGGATTTACAAAGAATACTTTTTAAGAGCATATATTATTAATATTTGACATTATTTAAAGTAAAGATGGTGAATATTTACTTAGTATTTATTTTAACATAGATTAAATAAGATTAAGTACTTAAAAAGATTTTGGAGCTGCAGAAAATTATAAAACCAAGTTAAAAAGAAAAATTTATTTTCTGAGTCTGTAGGAGACAAGTTGAATATAGTTTTATAGCTGCTGCCTTCTTACGCAAATGAACTGTTCTAAATGTCAAAAATCTTATGTAATTGTGTCATACTGAACCAGTGCATTATACCTTATGTTAAATGTAATAAAGTGAATTTACTTCTCTTTATAAGAATAAATATCACAAATCTCTTATATTAAATATGAAAATGGTTTGCTTAAAGAAATTAATATTATTTACTGTGCTATGTTTTTATTTATGCTTAACTCAGAAATCACTTGAGGACTTTCATTCTGTTCCAGTTAGTATTCAGTTGCAGAGAACAGAATTTACACTTAATTAGGCTAGGTAAGAAAAGATTTATAGTGGGTATTGAATACGGAATTACAAAGACTATCTGACGTGAGCTTTCCAGGACACATCCCAAAGGCATGCCACTACCAGGTCACCAGCAGAGTTGCTAACTCTGCTAAGATTAGGAAATGGTTGCTTCCTTCAGTGAGAAGGATAAGCTGTCACTAATTCTGCTACCTCTGAAACCATGCTCACCTCCTGTGATTTGCCCCACACAAACACAGTCTCTATTCCCTGCCTCCCAGTACTCAGTAGGGCAGCAATCTTGTCAACAATATTTGCAAGCAGGAGTGACAGAAGCAAGACTGCACCTCACTTCTGCCTCTCGAGGCTGACGTGTATGTCATTCATTGGCCTAGAGCAGTGGTGTGAACCAGTGGCCCACAGGCCACAGTGACCACACATCACTCTATCAGCACACAAGCCAAATCACCGCAGCCAAATTATTAGCATGCGCATAACAGCAAGGATCATATTCATTGTGTAGAAGCACCCCAAATATAAACTTTTCTTTTTAATTAATAAAAACTTGTTTCTATCACTGAAAGCTGTTACTGCGTTTTTCTTTTAAGACAAAAGATGTTAATGTATGAGGTGTTTCTAAACTAAAACCTCAGTATTCAGATTAAAATGCAATATTGGCACTTTGCAGTAAATAAGTGGATTTTAGGTTGTAGTTTGTGCACTGATCTCTAAAATGCTTGCCGTCACTGACCTAGAGTAATCCAGAATCATAGGAGCAAAAAATGTACATTTACTTTTTTAGCCCCTGCAGTGTAAGAAAGCTCAGTAAGGAGATAGAATAGACACTGGGCACTGTATGTGAGTATTTCATTGCTCAGTGAAGATTTAGCACAATATATATTATCTTAGCATTTCATTTTTTATTAGCTAATTGACTTTTTGTTGATTAATAAGTTAACTAACTGACTGGTGTAGCTATTTTTTTTCACACAAGTTTTTGGTATGTAGTTCGATTGCCTCTTCAGAGGAGGATAAATGCAGCTCATGAATTTAAATCTGTGTTCTTCTTCCTCCATTACCAACCAAACTTTGTTTTTCTTTTTTCAATATTTATTTTATTTTTCCCATAATTTTATTGAGAAACAAATAACAATGAGACAGTTTCAAATCAAATTGGTAGGACAGTTTCAATAATTAACACATTGTATACATTCTTCCTAGTGGTTAATTGCTGTACAAGATGCAGACATGATATCCTTTTTACAAGCACCATTAGATCAAATCACTTTATTCATTAAGAGAATGTAACTATGTATCTATCCTAACCACTTTGAATACACAGATACAAAATGGACATTCATCTGTATCCCCTTTTTGTTAAGTTCCATTATTTGAATATTATAGGTGTATAAACTCAGCAAAATATTCTAAAAGAGTCCAGTAGCCCATAATAATAGCTTGTAAAAAGGATATCATGTCCGCATCTTGTACAGCAATTAACCACTAGGAAGAATGTATGCAATGTGTTAATTATTGAAACTGTCCTACCAATTTGATTTGAAACTGTCTAATTGCTATTTGTTTATCAGTACATAATAGTATTGGGTCTTCCGCTTGATTGGCAATGTCAGAAATTGTTGACCTGAGTCCCCTACAGCTCAACATAACAGCATGGCTTTACTTCTTATATTTCATTTTTATACTTTTCTACTGGATGGTTAAGAACAAGGTAAAGCAGGATGAGCAGGTCAGGACTGTAGGCTCAGCTTAGCTAGGTCCTTTGACTAGGATTTCTCATGAATCCAGTCATTGTGTCAGCCAGGCTGGTTCCCATCTAGAGACTCAACTCTCAACTGCAGAAAAGTCCTATTCCAAGTTTACTCAAGAAAAATTCATTTCCTTATGATTATGATATACAGGTACCAGCTTGGTTCAGGTAGTTGACTGGAGACTGTTCTCACCTCCTTAAGGTGTCCGTTGGGTCTTAGCAGCTGCCCTCAGCTTCTGCAGATTATTCACAGTTCTTTGCCTTTATACGCTTCTCCAAAGTGACTACTTCATTAAGTGAGCAAGGAGTGTACAGTGAGTCTGTCGCTGTCTTATATAAAGTACCATAATCACAGGAGTGGTACCTCATTCCCTTGCCAAGTTCTTTTGTTATTAAAAAAAAAAAAAGACAAGTAACAGGTCCTGTCCACACCCAAATGGACAGAATTACAGAAAGGTCTGAAAATCAGGAGATGGAGACCATGAGAGGTGCTATTCCCTAGAGTTAGAGTCTGTGCACCACAAACATCAGTCTGTGTCGTTATGCATGGCATTTGGTGCTTCCTGCAAGCAATTCATCCTTCTAAATAGCCATAATAGCTCAGGGATTTAGCTCAGTGGCACAGCACCTGCCTGGCAAGGATAAGGTCCTGAGTTCAATTCCCATTGGCTAGAAAATAACAACTAATAGCAACATTATTTTGCTTCCACCTGTCATAACACAAATCTCCCTATCAACAAAAGTACACTAATTTCTCCTAAGAGAAGAATCAAGTTGCTTATCAGTAATGTGAATCTGTCCACCACTGATGTTTACTCCTCCCAGTTCAGTCCCAATCCCCTCTTTATACTCTGTGTTTGGATTAAACTGTACAGTTAATTGTCATCAACTGAACTTATTTGAAACTGTAGAGGATACTTGGGAAATAAATTGATTCTTATATATAAATATATTTCCTCAAAGAAACAAAAGGAAACTAAAAGGCTAGCAAAATCCTCATTTCTACTGCAATGGCAAGTAGAAACACTAAAACAAACCCAGGATTTGGAGGCAGATTTATTTACTTCAGTGGGCACTGATAGGGATCATTCCCAGAATAAGAGGCTCTGATCTCTGGTGGTCTAGGGCTTATACTGGATAAGCACGCACGAAGTACAGAGGTAGAATGGCTTGTGAACTGGGAATTGTTTTATGCAGAGTGCATCATAATGAGCAGCTGTTTCTAAGAGATGGGAGAATCCTGAACTGGGAACAGGAACAAGAACAGGAAGTGGGCAATTTAGAAACTGAAGTATACTGGCACGTGTGGAAGGCGGGCATTTTCTGCGTTCCAGCAGGTCATGAGACTATATGTATGCCTAACCATACTGTAAATTAACTTCTTAGAAGCCTACACTTTAAGCACAAGTATAGTTGTCATCATCACAAATAGAATACAAGGGGCCAGGGAGATGGCTCAGTAGAATAAGTGCTTCCCTGGCAAGTGCAAGGGCCTGAGTTCAATCCCCGGTTCTGCAAAAAAAAACCCATATAGAATACAAAAGAGGGGGGCCTGGCCCTAGCTCAGGCCTTTAAGTGGCTGCTTCCACAAAGCTGTCAGCCTCAGGTTGCTGGAGTTCGAACCTCACACCTCTCCTGCTGGCCAAAAGTGCCCTGAAGGCATTCGAGGAACCAAAAAAAAAAAATTCCTTATTCCATTAAAAAAAAAAAAGAATACAAAAGAGTGCATCACCCTAAAAGAACTCCCTCGTGCCATCCCTTTATATATTCTCTGCCTTGCTCTAACCAACCACTGCTCAGTATTTTGTCCACCTTATTGAAAAGATGGGCTGGGAAAATAGCTCAGTGGCATAAGCGCCTGCCTGGCAAGCACAAGTTTCCAAATTTGATCCTTAGTATTGCCCCCCAAAAAAAAATTTAAAGAAAAGGAATTCACAGATTTTTGTTTTCCCACCAACCTTGCCCCTTGCAGCTACATGATAAAGAAGTAGTCAGATGCTTCTACCTAGAATTTCTCAAGCCAGAGAAAAGAGAGAGTGCAGTACGTTTTGTGGTGAATGGTAGCATCATTACATCAGCACTCTGCTTCTGAGGTAGGAGTCAGTGGTTTTGAATGCCCAGGGTTTATTCCACTCTTTTCAGGAGGAGCTTTTTAGTTCTGTGAGCATAACTGTTCAGTGTTTTGCTTTTATTAGATAGAATCTTTCTTTGGCCTAAAGTAGACAGATTCATGTGATACTGGCAGCTCTGCAGCACTGGTTCCCTCATGGCAAGACACAGTATTCCAGTAGCTACTTTACTAGGCATACATCACTAGAAGAAGCCTATGCCTCATGTTATGTTCTAGTTTTCTGACACCAGAACTACATCTTTCCCCATCCCATTGAGATACAAGATTTCTACTTCTTAATTCTTGTCTTCCTTTGTAGGCAGTGTCTTTATGGCTCTTTTTAAGATCTTGGTCTTTCCATTTGTCTGCTTTTTTTTTTCCTTTTTTTAATGTATTTATTACAGGGTCTCATTACGCATCTCGGACTTGTAGTCATCCTCCTGTTTTCAACCTCCCCCGCGCTGGGATTACAGTTGTGCACCACTACACCTAGTCTCCATGGCTGGCTCAGCATGCCTGGGGACTGGGCCGGTGTGCTGGGAATCAAGTCCCTGCACTTGCCTAAATGGGTGCTTAGTCCACTGAGCTATCATGCCAGTCCTTCTGCCATTTCTTATGCTCTAACCAGCTTTTTAAAAATCCTCTTTGGGATTAATGATAAAATTTTGATAACTGTCTTTTCCAAGGCTGTGGTAGATTGACAACTGGTGGTCAATTTGTAACACCCAGCTAAACTGAACCAGTGTGGTGCTAGGTGTGGCATGCCTACCTGAGCATTGTTGCCAACACCATAAGAGGCAGAACTGCAAAAGAGGGGAGACTGTTAGGAAAGCTGTAGGGAACTCTTAGTCTTCCCGGAGGAGCTTGCCATGCTGATTTTCCTGATGAACTCGGCTACTCTTCGAAGGAGCTCAGGACCTGTTGTCACTGAGAATGGCAACAGTTCACTTTGAGGAAGCTCTGGTCCTCACTATGAGCATCACTTCCTGGCTCTGGAA